CGCCGAGGGCCAGGTTCTTGTCTTCTACGTTCTTTGAGTTGGCACGTGTTGTCCTCACCATTTTGATAGAGGGCTAGTGTTTTGTGTTTGGTCGAGGGGGAGGGTTTCTTACTCGATTGTTCGACCTCTCAACGAGAGCACCACATGATGGATAGTCTACCCGGGGGTATATATCCGAAGGGTTATTACGGGGAATAACTTAGAGAGAAGTCAGAGCAAGTAAGTAAAAGTAGAGAGAGAGAGTGTATTCAGTATGAATGCCGTTTTCAGCGTGGTTACAAATGAGGAAATGGGGTGCTATTTATAGTAGCAATAAATGCCGGGCAGGGACACGTGTCAAGCGCTCATTGGCCGAGGGGTCACCTCAACTGGTTGGCGCTGGCAGCCGCATGTGGCCGCATTTAATGCGGCTGTTGGATGGGGCGTCTATGCGGGGTACGGTGATCTGTACGCATGTGAGGCGGATATCTTGTCGAGTGAGATGCCTTCGGCTATAGAGCAGTAGCCGAGGGCTCTTCCACCCGATGGCACCCTGGTGCCGAGGGCTCACAGTGCCGAGGGCTACTGTTTTCGCCGTTTTCTCCCAGTTTCTTAATTTGCTTGAGAAACCCGTTCTGTGAGAATTTGGAGCCTTCGGCCAGGGGGCCGAAGGCGCCCCTGGCGCGTAGTGCGGACTGCTTGGTACTCTGGGCGCTGTGATTTGGGCATGTCGGGCCTTTTGGGCCTGTTGGGCCTTCGCTGGAGTAGTAGGAGTCTGTGGGCCGGGGGTTCCCGGGCCATATACTCCATCAGGAGTCCCTCACTCCTTTTGCTGAAAGGTACTTGAGGGAAAAGGAGTAATTTGTGCTTGCCCTTTGATGTTGTCCCGTCGTGATCTCTGAAGTTGGTGAGGAGTTGTTGCTTTTATGTCCCTGCCGAAGGCAGTCCCTCAGTTACCCACATGTCAGGACTTGAGGGCTTGCTTTGTTGTTTGTTGGAATTTCTAAATCTTTTGTAATTTAATGATTTTCCCGAGGGCTGAGGGGGCGTGTTAAAGTATTTATCCCACACCAGAAAGCTATAAAACAATAAAACACTACTCCTCATATTAGGTTGACCTTTTTAGGATGGAACCCCTAGGTCTTAACAAAATAACAAGCCAATTTGGATATATTACCAAACGGGCTCTTTGTATAACATGTTCATGTTATATTACTACCTTCGTCCCTTAAAACTTTCCCAAACTTGACCGACACAGAGAATAATAAAGTAAAAACTGTGTGGTTGAGGTTTGTGCAGAGGAAAGAGAAATAAGAGAAACTACAAAATAATTGATACAAAGGAAAAGTGGCAAAGATTTTTGGGACGTCCAAAAAAGGAAAGATGACAAAGTTTTAAGGAACGGAGTGAGTAATAATTTGTATGTAAATTCTAAGATCTTATTAGACACCAGAATATGACTGTTCAATAGAAAAAGCTAGCTTGATGATTAGTTACTCAAATTTAACTTATCCACGCTGCCCACGCATGAGCTTATGAGACTATCTACCTTAGCTTGTAAATTATTCTCAATGATTTTATTCAGGTAGATTTTTGTACTCCGCATACATTTCATTATATTTAATAATGTATTGAATTCTTTAAATAATATGTATTCTATTTATGATCAATATAGTTGTATAGTATCCCACTATCCTGTAGACTGTAGTAGTCGTATATAATGATAGCAGAAAAGCCATCCCACAAGCTAGTGATAAAAAAGAAAACAATTTAAAGGCATAAAGAACAACATAAAAGCCACTTAACTTGGCACTGGTTCAACTTTAAACAAACCTTATGCTCCATTGTGTTCACCACTTTACTTCTTGGCTACCTTAATAATTATTTGGAATAGCATATATTTGACTCATTAATCTTTATGAGTAACGCTCGAGTGGTGCTTGATACTTTTTTATGTAATAAGAATTTGAATGAGTAGGTTGGTAAAAGTGAGAAGTAGAACAGTTTGACCCAAACTCTTTTGTTAGAGAGCAACATCAATATATTGACGAGAGAAGAATGAGTTTACAAGACATTAAACCTAATGAGTTAATCCATTAAATCAATCTTGTGTTCAGAGGCGGAGCCATGACACTGGGCCAAAACAAAAAATAGTTTTGAAAAGTTTTTGAATAGAAATTTTTACGCTAAAAATATAGGCATTTTCTAAATTTGGGTTGGGCCGGGACTAGGGTTGGCCCCTCCCTAGCTACGCCCCTGCTTCTGTTGTTCGACATATATATTCAGCGTCCTCTAATAAATTTGGAGGCCACAATTCCAAATGATGAATTGAAGCTCCCTCTAATAAATCTTGTGTGAGAATACAAAATTTAAGAATAAAATACAAACAGAGTAGATAGTACAAAATATAAGTTTTATAATGTTAAAGTACACAAATGAGATAATTTAAAAGTTATACACCTTTTGGAATATGGAATAATACATAACATATATAAAAATCGACCTATAACTACTACTATCACCGTTCCTTAAGACTTTGCCAAATTTAACCAACTCATGAAATAATAAAGTAAAAATCATGTGATTGATCTTTGTGTAGATAAGAAAGTCATAACATAAACCACAAATTAATTGAATAAAATGAAAAAGTAGTAAAGCTTTTGAGATATCTAGAAAAAAAGACATGGTTGTAAGGGTCGAAGATTAGAGAGTATCACATACTAGATTTTGGGGTTCCCTGTTGAGGTGGGTCCGATGCCAAACACTTATTGCCTAAAAGACGGTCTTGTATATACGGAATATTATGAACTTAGTGTCAAACTAGTAGTTACCGATTCAATATAATAAAAATGTGATACACAACAAAAAGAATGAAACTTTCACCACATACATAGTCAAAAGAACAATCTTTTTTCGGAAAGGAGAACCATCTATGTGCTAAGTGAATTGAAGTAAACAATATCTTAAAATGAGAACGCGCATGCCATTGTCAATCATTTCAGCAACTTTTATAAATTTTTAACTTTGAAATTGTTTTCACAGCACCAACAAAATTGAAATTGTATAGTTCATTTTGATTTTTTAAGAGTTTCCATAAGTGTAACCAAATATGAGATGACAAGAAAACCCGTTTGGTAACATTAAAATTGTCTGAATTGGTTAATTTTGTCAAAAATTATGAATTTCTGGCTGAAGTGACTGAATTAATTGATTCTGTTGATTGATAAAAAATTATATTTAAAACATATTTAATTAATAAAATAAAGAAAAATCATACGAAAAGATAACTAAAATAATTCTCTATAGTAACTTCATTCAATTCGACTAAAAATGTGATTCTTGCTTTACTTATTTCAATTACTTCATCGGTCCCTTATTTAAGTTCCTAGTATGACTTCACACATATTAATGAAATAAATTTACTGAGGGGTAAATTTTACTGTAGAGTACACTGTTGTAACATTGTTTGGCACCATTTTGCACTGTTTTACACTGTTTTGACACTATTTCGGTGTAAATTTGTTTGCCAAATAAGGAAGTGCGAACTTGTTTGAGACATCCAAAAAAGAAAAGTGAGAACTTAAATAACTCTGCCATCTTTCCTTTTTTGGATATCCCAAAAACTTCGTCACTTTCCTTTTAAATCAATGAATTTGTGGTACTGTTATTTTTGTCTCCTCTACACATATCTCAATTACATAGTTTTTACTTTATTATTTCCCGTGTCGGTCAAATATGACAAAGTTTTGAAGGACGGAGTACTAATTCACTCCACGAAATCAAAAGTTGAAAGAAAATTCGTTACCGGTGGGCGTAATTCAACCGGTAGCGAGGGAGTGACACAAGGGTTATGTCCCGAGTTCGAATCTCGGCAACTGCAATGAGAGGTTATTATGCTAAAAATGCATAGGGCCTCTACAAGCAGGGGCGGACCCACCCTAGGGCTAGGGGGTGCCCGTGCCCCTGCGGTGATTTTTATTTATATATATATATATTGGAAACCGTCCGAACACCGTCCGAACACCGTCGTTTGGGGCGGTTCCAGGTGGAATTTGTTGATGAAATTTTGTGAGCATGTTTCTCATCAAGTCTAGTTTATCCATACCAAATTTCAGGTCAAAATTCGACCGGGAAGGCAGTCAAATAATTTGTTGAAGTTAACTGCGTTTTTCTATGTATAATTTGACGCAGTTAACTTCAACGAATTATTTGACTGCCTTCCCGAGCGAATTTTGAGCTGAAGTTTGGTACGGATAAACTAGACTTGATGAGGAACATGTTCAAAAAATTTCATCAAAATATTCCGCCGGGAACCACCCCAAACACCGGTGTTCGGACGGCGTTCGGACAGAAAAGTGCTGGACAGAAAAGTTATGCCGATTGAGACTTATGATGTTAATATTAGAGATGAGTTGAGGAGACATTATTTGAGAAAAGGTCCTTGCCAACCGCGTGACTTTAAATTTCCACAAAGTGATTTTAATGGGTGCAACAGATCATTCCAAAAACAGTGGTTTTATTTAAATTTTATAGTTTTGTTTATTGCTATACTCGTGATGCATATGATTTTTTTCTAGACTAGTATATCATTTCTTTGTTATTGTGCCCCTGCGAGTCACGAGTCCTGGTTCCGCCACTGTCTACAAGTATTGGGAATAGAACTTCACTCTCTATATGTCAGATTGGTATTATAGTCCAACTTACATCCTCCCAACGTACCATCCGGCCAAGGTCGGGGCCCATCCGGGTGTCATCCTTTTTTTGAAAGAAAAATCGTCTACCAAAAACGTACTGAATTAGGTACCAAATAATTCTGACGAGTAGGTCATGGTTGTAAGCAGAGCAGAAGCATTGTAGGGCGGACAATGTGTTCGGTCTTCTGGCATCACAAAACTCCGAAAGATCTGTGCCCTTTTTGTCCCTCACTTTTCCATCATTTTGGTCCCTTTTCTATCTTCCATCTCCTCCAATACCTGTATATATATGTCACTCCACTCTACGTCTTCCTCACTCACCTTCGAGAAATTCATAACGAACTGTAAACACAGATAATCGGATAATCAAAGATGTCGAGAGCCAGAGAACAGAGAACAGAGGCAGTGTTCGAGAAACAGATCAAGTTCACCAGAAATGGCAGCTTGAAGGCCCCGGCGAAGAGATCATCATCGCAATTGGCTCATCCTTTCCGATACTATCTCAAGCGATTCAGCGGGAGTATGGCGGAGGCTCTGCGGATGATATCTCCGGTGAAATGCCGCAAACTTGACTCTTCATCATCGTTTTCGTCATCATCTTCGTCTTCATCCCACTACAGCAGTAAATCATCGAGGCAGCAGGTGACGGTAGCCGGAAGCAATTATTCGTGTACAGCTTCAGCTCCTCGCCGGAATTCAATCGGAACTGACGATCACAGAGCTGAAGCAATAGATGATTGCATCAAATTCATCAACGCCTCCTTGTCTAGATCAAAGTCACTCGCTTCTTATATTTGATTTGATGATAGAGTATATGACGGACGGATAGATAGGGTTAATTTATTGTTAATTCATAGCTCCTAAATCCTAATTAGTTTAGAAAATTTAATTTATATGTATATTTTGCCTCTGGGATCAGTCTATCAGATCAACTTCTGATCGAGTGGTGTGGAAATTAATCGAACGGTTGATATCATTCTTTTGAACCTGTTGAAAGAAAACGTGTATTTAGAATGATTACCGGATGAAACATGTCATTGGTATCATATTATTAGTAAATTATTAAAACATAGATATACGTCATACACCTTATTAACTTAGATAATAATCACTAAGTTTTTTTGAAAGGAATAATCACTTTAAGAGCAATATGATAACATTGAAATTTGATGAATCATTGATTCTATTGAAAATTATGAAGTTCTCGCTGAAGTGGCTGGATTGCTGATTCTGTTGATTTCTGAAAAAAAATTATATTTAAAATATTTGTTATTAATAAAATAAAATATATATGAGAAATAACTAAAATAATTTTCTATAGTAACTTTAACCAATATAACCAGAAAAGTAACTTCAACCTTACATAATTCAGCACGCGAAATTAAAAGTTATGTATTTAGTGAAAAAGTTGGTTCATAAGCTTATAAGTCGAAAAACGGGATCACCAAACGGACTATAAGTTAGTTTCAATTCGGTCACTAATTTGTTTCACTTTCAACATTTAACTATAAGTTTGGTTATATGTTACTCCTCCTGTTCGATTTTACTTGTCTTACTTTCATTTTTGAGTTGTCCCAAAATAAGTTTCACACATCCTTTTTTGAAAAGAAATAAGTGATCCACATTATTTCACTTTTTTATATTCAAATCTGAACCACAACTTTTATCAACCATTTTATTAATAATTATGTCAAATAAAAAAAGAACGACGGACAAAGGTAGTAAATCACTAAATCATATAAGTTGTCGAAATGATGATGGTTTATTGGGGGCGGCGACGGGTGAGAAAGATATTTCCTGTGAAAAATGAGAAAGATGCACTTTCCAGTCCAATTGCACATTTCTAATCGAGATAATGCAGACTTCACAACAGTAGAAGAATTCATTTTATTTACTAAAATGCCATCATATTTTTTCATCATGAGAGTACATATTTCAGTTTCACATAATTCACACATCAAATCCAACGCTCCAGATTCATTAGACTCAAATAAATTAAACATGTGCTAATGTACGCTCTCTTGCATGGTAATCAGTAATATAGTCGTCACCTTATTTAGAGCACCTTTGGTAACCCTATTTAACTTATCAGCCTTATTGATTACGTTTTTTAGACAAGTAATTGTTGCTTTGGCACACTTAATCATGTAGTAATCAAAAAATAACCATGTTTGATGTACACACCCTTGTACACAGGGGCGGATCCAGGAAAGTCATTTTGGAGGGGTGAAATATTTTTTTGAGGGGTTCAAAATATTTTTTGGGAGGGAGAGAATTATTTTCATATATATATACACTAAAAAAAATTCTTGTTGGGGGGCGGTTGCCCCCCTGGGTCTGTACTACGGTCCGCCCCTGCTTGTACACACCTTATATGCACCATGTTTGTGAAACTTTTTTTTTGTCTGTGAACCCGGTTCACAGACAATATTTTGTTTGTGCAAAACGTTGTCTGTGAATCGATGTTCAAAGATAAAAAAAAGTTTTCACAGACATAAGTGTGTACAAAAGTGTGTATGAGAGCGTATACAAACATCATTTTTGATCAAAATAAGAGAAATTGTAGTTATTTTTTGTTGAAGTTACTGTGGGATAATTGATAGGCCGATGTGATCGGTTCAGGCATTCATTCGGATTCCAACTAGAGTGTGATGTATATGTCCTAATGTATCAATTAGCATCTTAACTTTTAATTAATCACAATTCGACCCCTTATATTTTATAGAATCCCCGAGACATGCTTTCCCCGCAACACGTGAATTTGTCAAAATTGTTAGCCTGGTTAATCTAGTAGGGTTCATAATCATGTTTGGTCTTTCTGCTCCCAAAATATTACTTTAACAAAGATTGGTTGGGTAGAAGTCTACAACATAGAAACACAAATGTCTCTCTGCTGTCCGGCCTTTTAGACCAAATATGAGTCCATTGAGGTTGTATTTCTAGTTGAATTGATTGTAATGGATCATTTTAACTACTTATATTTTTAGTTTATTAATAAAATACCCGCTCCATCCCGAAAAGGTTGACCAAATTTCCTTTTTTGGATGTACCAAAAAGATTTGTCATTTCCATTTAAAGTAAGGAATATGTGAGCTAAAATTAATTCTGTCTCCTCTGTACAAATATCAACCACAAAGTTTTTATTTTATTAATTCACGTGAAAGTCAATTTTGACCAACTTTTTTGGGACGGAGGCAGTATATTTTAAATATAAGTTTTCATAATTCAGCAGATTTAGCCACTTCAGGAAGAACTCAATCAATTTTAGCAGATTCAGGAAGGACTCTTAGTTCTATGAATGACATTAGTGTGAAGATATCATTTTATTGTTCATCCTTCCCGTTATGATTATCACAATTTTCCCTTTTCACTCGCCTCATACAATATTTGGTTATATTTTTGTGGTTCTAATTGATTGATACTTTATTCAATTCAAATCAATAACATCACTTTACTTTTCTAAAAAAATGGAAACATATCCTCTTGTGCCATTCTTAGGAGGATGAAGTTAGTATTAGACACTAGATTTTGTTCCTCTAATTGAAATAAAGAGTTGAACAACTAGACTCAAGTCACTTCCGAGATAGAGATTTTGCATTGTAAATGGTTTTATTTAGTTTAGGATTTTTTTATTACGTTTAAACAATGTACTCTCTCAATTCTTGTTTTGATCTTATTCTCTTGATTATGATCAATAGAATTATACAAGAACTCATAGTCCTCGTATATAATGATATCACTAAAGACACCACATAAGTTAAAGTGATGAAGAAAGCATTACATTGAGCTTAAAATGAAAGCCACTTGACTTGGAATTTGTTCACCTTTAAACATCCTTGTACTCCATTTTGTTCACCACTTTACTTCTTGGCTACCTTAAAGAGTAACTAGAATAGCATTTTAGACTCATTCATCTCTTGTATGAGTAAAAGCCACAGACACAACCAATATAATGTGGGGCAAATGTTTTGGGCACAGAATGAGGTAAACAAAGCAGGAATGATAGAATACTCTGTAAACAAAACCAAACAAGTACTAAATTAGGTACTGAAATAATTCTCCTCAAGTGGACTGTAGGTCATGGTTGTAACTTGTAAGCATTGTAGGGTGGACAATGTGTTTGGTCTTCTGGTATCACAAAAGTTCAAAATTTTTGTGCCCTTTTTGTCCCTCACTTTTCCATCATTGTTGTTCCCCCTTTCTCTCCAATGCTTGTATATATGTCACTCCACTGTATGTCTTTCTCACTTAGCTTTGAGAATTCAAAAAACTGTATACAGAGATCATAGGACAAATAAAGATGTTGAGAGGCAGAGAAGAGAAAATAGAGACAGTGTCCGAGAAACAGATAATGTATACCAGAACTGGCAGCTTAAAGACGCCAGCGAAGAGAGCATCGCCCGAATTGGCTCATCCGTTTCGATATTATTTCAAGCGTTTCAGCGAAAGCATGACGGACGCTTTGCGGATCATTTCTCCGGTGAAATGCCGCAAACTCAACTCATCACCACCATTTTCATCATCATCATCATCATCGTCATCTTCTTCTTCATTTTCATCTAAGTACAGCAGCCGGTCATCAAGGCAGCAGATGATGGTGGCTGGCAGTACTAATTGTCCATGTACATTTGCCGCTACATGCCGGCATTCAATCGGAACAGAAGATCACAGAGCTGAAGCCATAGATGATTGTATCAAATTCATCAAATCCACCTTATCCAGATCAAAGTCACTCTCTCCTTAAGTTTAATGATTGAATATGCTGACGGTTAGTTAGGGTTTATTATGAGATATAGCTTAGAACAGTTTGTTCGTATGTAACATTTTTTGTGATCAGATCAAGTGATCAAGTGGTGTGGAAAGTAGTAATCTTGTTTTTAGTCAAAAGGATCATTTTTTAACCTATCCAAAGATAGTGTGTACTCAAAATGAGATAAGCTTTGCCTGATCATAATTATAATGACTTGATGAATGAAAATGTTATTTGTATCTTATGAGTAAATGATTACAGCAGAGAAATATGTATGCATGGAATTTCTAAACCTTAAATGAAAATGTTCGGTAATATATAAATCGGATATATTAGCTGATGTTGGTGAAATTTATGAAATTATGGCCGAAGTGGCTGAATTAGTTAATTTATGAAAAAATTATATTTAAAATATATTTTATTAATAAAATAAAGAAAAAATGATCTTCTAGAGTAACTTCAGCCAACACACCAAAAAAGTAACTTCAACCTTTTTTTCTATTACACAATTTAGCGCGCAAAATAAAAAATTACGTGTTTGGTGAAATAGTTGACTAATGGGATAAGCCAAAAAACAGGCTCACCAAATGGGCTCTAAATAAGACAATGAAGGAGGGAAAAACTAAGAGTTAAAAATCTTGTAGGAGTAAATGAGATGAGTTGCAAACAAAATTTGACTCAAGTTTTCTCAAAATATAAAGGGTTTTCCACATAAATTGTTAGTAAAAAAGTCTCTCCATAATAACTGAAGGACTTAAAATATTTCCTAATATTACCATAACAACTGTCTTGTGTTGGGAGTATTTGAAATACTTCCAAATACAAAACAAAAACTTTACCAACCAAATAACATTCACTAACATTCATTCAACTAAAAATTACCATCTTCCTATGTATCATCGAGTTCTCTAAAAGAATCTTTGCCACTTTTAGTCCCCGATCAGGGCCGTAGATGAGGGCGTGCAAGAAGTGCAATCGCACAAGGCCTCTCAATTTCAGAAGGCCCAAAAATTTAAATATAGTCTATATAATATAATAAATCTTTATTTATTTGATTAAAAATTCCTATATTATGATTATTTTTAAATACAAACATTAAATAGTAATATTTTTATGTAATTAAAGTACAATTGTTAATTACAATTGTGTGATTTCTTTATTTCACACGGCCTAATTACATTATTTAGCACAAAACCCTCGTACAGTTTGGAACGAGCTTGTAACTACTTTCTTTTTCATACTTTGTCATTACTTTACTTTTCTTAATTTATTCTCTTTTCTACTTTTCATTTACCTTTAGGGCCTACTATTTTCATCTTAAAATCCACAAAAAACCTAAGGACACTATTATTTAAAAACGGTGAAAGTAATAATATAATAATGATTATATAATGATAAAAAAACTTAGGGCCTCATTTTCAATTTTGCATAGGGCCTTCTATATGTCTGGGCCGGCCCTGTCCCCGATTATTGTGTCAATGACACTTCTATACTTGAATTTCAATTTTTCTATTTTTAATCTTTCGACTATTGTGCGAAAAACAATTTTAGTCCTCAACAATTTTAGTCCTCAACAATTTTGCCACAATAAATGTAGGAGTAAATATGTCACTATTATAATAGTTAAGAGACTAAAAATGTCACTTATACAAAAATCGAATGACTAAATACATAAATTTTCAAAGACGGCCATAAAAAATGTCTTTTGCAAAATATTCGAAAGATTAAAAGTGACATAAACTCTTCATCCATATTTCATCAATATGAGAAACATTTAACTATTAGTATATTATTATGTCTTTATTAACAAATTTCTGTTAAGTTGCAAGGATGTGACTAGCTAAGTTCAAGGGTTTAAGAATGGAAGATAAAGATGATGATGGTTTAACATATTTAGAACCTCTTTCAAATTCTTTTACAAAATGGCTTATTTAGAAATTCTTGACATATTTTCCCTTTCTAGGATTTAATTAGAATTTCACCCGTGTGTTGTACGAGATGTAATGCAGATATTATAAATGTTACGTAGTATTTAATTGATGGTCTCAGATGGAGGTAAAAGTCTGGGGGGTGAATAGACTTTTAAAGCTTTTTCAACTTTAAAAACTTTTCCCTACTAGATGGGATGATCAATAATCTTTTGGGAGATTTTAGATACACAATGTAAGTCTTAACCTCTAAATAAATAGCGTATAATAACTTTCTATGTTTGAGTGGGGTTTGGACTTATTTAGATGAGCAATTGACTGGGCAGTTGAGTTACTGCAGGGAACTGCTGAGTTAGCTGCTAAGGAAAGATGAAAGTATGAGAAAGCTGATTATAGATTCTTACTCGGAATGATGAGAACTTTCTGGAAATGTGCTGAGCTGAGTTAAAGTGAAGGTTTATGAGAGAAGTGGCTTGAGCAGCTGAGTAATGAGAGCAGTGGTCGGACCAGGGAACTGCTGAGGCACCTGCTGAGGCACATGCTGAGTTAAAGGATGGTTTTCAGAAATCTGATTGCACAAGCCTTTTTGTAATGATGTTGTAAGACTCTTGTGATGTTGAGATGTCTCAAAGAAAGTATATATATGGGCAGTGGGCTGAGCAATGGAGTAATGTGAGGCAACTGCTTAGGTTACTGCTAACAGACTACTTTCTATGAGAAGTGTTTGGTGTGTGCTTTGTTGAGTGAAAGTAAATCAACACACAATATATCTTGGTTCAGAGGTGGTCTAATCCTCTTACGTCTAGTCCTACCCTCTTTCAGATGGATTTCCACTAAAGTATTAAGCCCAATACACTTAGTGCCAATCTAGCCTTTACAACAAAACTAGCCTAGATTGAAGGTTTTTCACAAAGAGTACACACCACTCCATGCTACTCAATCCTTAGGTTTTCTCTATTGATTCAGTGGGAGTCAAAAGGTACTCTATCCTATCCAAAAACACATAGAACTTGATAACAAAGTCCCTCTAAGGGTTTACAACAGTTTAAGATATACACAAATAAACTGGACACCAACTATGATCTAAACTTCCAAAATATAGCAATGAAAAGTTCTAACTTGGAAGTTTAGTGATGGATTATAGGTATCCAAGTATAAAATGGAGAGATTTGAGATAATGTGAGGAAGATGAATGAATAGTGAATTGTGAAATTATGTTCCAGGGTTACAAATGGCTCCAAGAGGAGTATAAATAGGGAAATAATGGGTCGGGCCGCTAATATGGGCCCGGTAGCCCAACTACATAAAAGACTAATCTAGTACATAGTTACATACAAATGACATATAAGCAGTACAATAATACAAATGATATCCGTAAGATGTGTGTGGGCCGCTGTCCGGGCCCAATAGTCGTGAGACCCGGGGGTCCGAGTCTATATACTCTATCAGGAGTCCCCCACTCTCTGAGTCGAGAGTATTCGAGGCGAAAGAGAGTAGAACTGTGTGCTGATCTGTCGCCGTCTGGTGAGTAAATTTCATGAACAAAAACTTGAATTTCTGCTTCTTTGGTTAACGGAGGCGCTAAGTCCCCCGCTCTTCCAGTCCCCCACTCCTTGAGGCGAGTGTAATGAGGTGAAGAGGAGTAGAGTAATGCGTGTCGGATGATGTCTTCAACAGGGGGCCGAGGGTTGACACCTTTTGATCCACGATGGGGAGATGCCTCGTTAAAACCTCATTAGGAAAAACCCTGTGGGAAAAAATCCTAATGAGGGAAAAAGAGTACACCGGATGCCCCCAAAATGAAACAAAAGGTGCGAGCCCTAGTCATCAATATGTGGGTAGCTCATCATGATCAGTAGTCCTAGTCATCAAATAAAGATGACTAAGGGATGGGTCGAGCAACCGTCCACAATATGATGTCTGGTTCATCAAATAAAGATGACCAGAACGTAAGGCCGATGGGCCGAGAGGCCTGTACGAGAGCTCCACATTGTCGCATAAGGACGACGAGGCGATGTATGGCCGAGGGACCTGCATAGAGCTCCACGTCGTCAAATAAAGACGATTGGGCGATGTGTGCGGCCGAGGGGCCTGCATAAGCGCTCCACGTCGTCAAATAAAGACGACGAGGCGATGGTGTGGCCGAGGGGCCTGCATAAGAGCTCCACGTCGTCAAATAAAGACGACGGGGCAATGGTGCGGCCGAGGGGCCTGCATAAGAGCTCCACGTCGTCAAATAAAGACGACGGGGTGATGGTGCGGCCGAGGGGCCTGCATAAGAGCTCCACGTCGTCAAATAAAGACGGCGGGGCGATGGTGTGGCCGAGGGGCCTGCATAAGAGCTCCACGTCGTCAAATAAAGACGACGGGGCGATGGTACGGTCGAGGGGCCTGCATAAGAGCTCCACGTCGTCAAATAAAGACGACGGGGCGATGGTGCGGCCGAGGGGCCTGCATAAGAGCTCCACGTCGTCAAATAAAGACGACGGGGCGATGGTGCGGCCGAGGGGCTTGCAGAAGAGCTCCACGTCGTCAAATAAAGACGACGGTGTGATGTATGGCCGAGAGAGGCCTATATGAGAGCTCCACGTCATCGAATAAAGATGACGGGGCGACGTATGGCCGAGAGGCCTACATGAGAGCCCCACATCATCAAATAAAGATGACGGGTGATGTATGGCTCAGAGGCCTATATGCGAGCGCCATGTCATCAAATAAAGATGACGGAGCGAGATAAGGCCGATGGGCTTGTATTTGAGCTTCGCGTCATCAAATAAAGATGACGAGGCGATATATGCCTGATGGGCCTGCAACTGAGCTTCGCGTCATCAAATAAAGATGACGGAGCAAGATGTGGCTCAGAGGCCTACAAATGAGTTCCTCGTCATCAAATAAAGATGACAGAACGATATATGGCCGATGGTCCTGTAGACGAGCTCTTCGTCATTAAATAAAGATGACAGAGCGATATATGGCCGATGGGCCTACAAATGAGCTCTTCATCATCAAATAAAGATGACAGAGCGATATATGGCCGATGGGCCTACAAATGAGCTCTTCATCATCAAATAAAGATGACAGAGTGATATATGGCTGATGGGCCTGCAAATGAGCTTCGCGTCATCAAATAAAGATGACGGAGCGATATATGGCTGAACTCTGGGCTCCTTTAGCCTTTCGGCCGGAGACCGCAAGATGTTCGCTATATCTGAATAGGGGGACGAGGCGGTGGACGCCTGTCTGAATATGAGGACGACGACGCTGATGAGTCGGTCCGAATATGAGGACGACAGCGCT